ATGTCTTCAAATTATGTAAATGGTTGTTTATGAAGAAGAAGGTGATAATTTTTTCCCCTGGTCCATTGATGACAGGAAAAGTAGTAGTGGGCTTAAATTGCAGTAAGGGAAAGGGAAATAAATGGAAGGGAAGTCAAGCACTAGAACAAATTACCTAGAGAGGCTCTGGAATCCCCATCACCTGAGTTTAAAAAAAAAGTTTAGACAAACAATTACCAACAATGGTCTAGACCAGTGTTTCTCAACCAGTGGTATGAGTACCCTTGGGGTACTCGAGAGATGTCTGGGAGGTACATCAACACAATTGAAATTTGGAGAACTGAATTTTTGTTTTACAGTGCTTTATTATTTTTGTACTTTTTATACCCAAAAATTTCATCCCCTGCCCGGCCACAATTAAGTTGTTCAAACAAATGTGTTGCAATGGTAGAAAAAAATTGTGTGTCTGAAAACTAGGTACTGGGGGTACTTATAATTTTTTTTGAAAGGGGATACTTTATAAAAAAGATTGAGAAACACTGGTCTAGACTACAGGATACTTACTCATCATCTAGTAAGCAAATATAATATCTCGGCAGGAGTGTGGTCTAGATCAGTGTTTCTTAAACTGTTCTGTGGTACACTGGTGTGCTGAGGCAGTCAGAGGTGTGCTGCAGAGAATGGAATTCAGAATTGCTGTCCTTAAAGGGGTAGGCGACCTTTCTCCCCCCCCCCCCCGCCCTAAAAAAAAATCTTTTGGTGTTCCTCATTTAAAAAAAAAAAATTGGTGTTCCTTGGTCTTAACGTTTAAGAAACACTGGTCTAGATGACTAATTGCAGGCCTTTCTGAGCCTATATTTCTGTAGTAAAAAATACTGTAGGAGTAGTTGTTTATATGTGGTATATCCTCTTGGGGTGTAGCAATGTAGTCATTACTCAGGCACAATTCCCATGGAAGTCAGACTATTTTAAACTGAGAGGGATCAACGCACTTAAGTTTTTTCCATCTCCAGAATCAGCTGAAATACAGGCAGTCCCCGGGTTACGTACAAGATAGGGACTGTAGGTTGGTTCTTAAGTTGAATTTGTATGTAAGTCGGAACTGGCATCCAGATTCAGCCGCTGCTGGTCAGTTTCAGCAGCGGCTGAATCAGGACCCCTGGGGCAGAGCAGCTGGGGTGCTGCCGGGTAGGTCCCTGCAGCGCCGCACCTCGGCGCTACGAGGACCAACCCGGCAGCACCCCAGCTGCTCTGTCCCAGGTGTCCAGATTCAGCTGCTGTTGAAACTGATCAGTGGCTGGTTTCCAGGAAGCCCGGGGCAGAGCAACTCTGCCTCAGGCTTCCTGTAGTCAGCCGCTAGTCAGTTTCAGCAGCGGCTGAATCAGGACCCCTGGGGCAGAGCAGCTGGGGTGCTGCCGGGTAGGTCCCTGCAGCGCCGCACCTCGGCGCTACGAGGACCAACCCGGCAGCACCCCAGCTGCTCTGTCCCAGGTGTCCAGATTCAGCTGCTGTTGAAACTGATCAGTGGCTGGTTTCCAGGAAGCCCGGGGCAGAGCAACTCTGCCTCAGGCTTCCTGTAGTCAGCCGCTAGTCAGTTTCAGCAGCGGCTGAATCTGGATGCCAGTTCCGACTTACATACAAATTCAACTTAAGAACCAACCTACAGTCCCTATCTTGTACGTAACCCGGGGACTGCCTGTAGATTGTGTTCTGATGTGAAAATACAAGACTAATGAAGATGGCTGGTAACCTGTCTGCTGTAACAGGAAATCCTGAGTTCTGGAAAGTTTTACTCGTTTGTTTTTGTTTTTAATGTGGAACTCAGTACTGTATAATGAACAAATTACAGGGTGATGTTGACCCTGAATTCTGAACACATCTGTTTTGCTTTGTTCCCTTTATAAATGATATGAAGGTATGCAGAAAAGAAATGTGTTTGTGTGAACCTGGGGTAATAATTAATCTTCCCAGCATAGCATATGACTATTAATTGAAATGAAGAAAAACAAAACTTACTTCAATTAAGGATCTGAGTGATGCTGGGTAAATCTTCTAGTAACTCATTGTTTTTTAAAAAAATTCTAGCAATCCAAATATAGGGTAGAAATGTGAGTCAACTCCCTCCTCGCAAATAATAGCTAGTTGAAGTGAACAGTTCATAATCAGTCATCTAAAATTTGCTCACATAAATTTGTAGTTACACGTTTTCACAAAAAACTTGTATGTGAGCTACTGCAAAAGTAAATTAAGGGGTTAGTATATATGGGTGTGTGTGTGTGGGGGGGGGGTATATAAGGCCTAAAATCCTACTCTATCATTCCTTACATGTGGGGGTAATCGTTGCATGTGGGGCTTGGATAAGGCAGGATGTGGGTGTGGCAGAGCTTGAGCATTTGCTTACCTTAAGCTGAGCTTGGTGCTGCCTTTACAGTCAGCTTCCCTTACGACTGCAAGGAGTGTTCAGTTTAGTGGGTTTTAACTAGATCCGCTAACTCAAATGCCAGAAAAATCAATCTCCCATGGGGCAAGTGGAGATGTGACTTGAGTAACCCTAAAACCTACAATGAATTGGGGAGTAGTGGCATTGACTGGGGCCATCCTTGGGTTGTGTCTACACTGGCAAGTTATTCCGGAAAATCAGCAGCTTTTCTGGAAAAACTTGCCAGCTGTCTACCCTCGCTGCTTGAATTTCCAGAAAAGCACTGACGATCTCATGTAAAATCATCAGTGCTTTTCCGGAAAAACTATGCTGCTCCTGTTCGGGCAAAGTCTTTCCGGAAAACCGTTCTGGAAAAGGGCCACTGTAGACAGCACAGTAGTGTTTTCTGCAAGAAATCCCCGATCGCGAAAATGACAATCGGGGCTTTTTTGCGGAAAAGCGCGTCTAGATTGGCCACGAACGCTTTTCCGCAAAAAGTGCTTTTCCGGAAAAGCGTCCTTCCAATCTAGACGCACTTTTCCAAAAAATGCTTTTAACAGAAAACTTTTCCATTAAAAGCATTTCCGGAAAATCATGCCAGTGTAGATGTAGCCTCAGTGTTTGATTTAACAAATCCTTGTTAGACCTGCTAAATCAAACACTAGAAGATTGATCCCCAGCACATTTAAGTATGGACATGACCTAAGGTAAAGGTTTGAGGTCTCTCTTAATAATAGGCCATCCCTGATGTAGAGAAGGCTGGCTCTTTTATAGAGAAAGACATGGCTAAGAGCAATGCTGGCTTATTCAATCACTTTGATAGGAGGACTACAAGCTGCCTTCAGTTAGACTTACTGTCCCATGGAACTATAATTGCCCTATTCCCTGCAAGGTCTTGTTCATTTAGTGGATTTATTTTGCAGCAACACAGGTGTCTGAGGGGCTGTTTTCTGTCCCTAGTAATTGATAATTAACAACAAACTGTCACAAGCTACATGATTAACCTCAGACTAATTCATTCACTCAAGGGTCATAAACATGAGAAGAGTCTAGTACTATCTTGCACAGGTGCTTCCCTCTAATTTGGCAGACCACACTACTCTTGGGCTTCGCCCTTCCTCCCTGAGCCGGGGCCCAAGTGCCATGGTACCTGGGTCTCTATGATCATGGCTCTTCTACCTTCCACACCATTATGAATTTGGTACCTATTCCTGGCACCACAACCGAAATTGGTGCCAAATATTATCAGTGCCTTGATTCTAGAATCCCTTCTTTGTGAGGGAGTGAGGATGGTGATAGCCAAACTCCCATGCTAGAGGTAGCCTGTTCACCTTCATGCCCCCCTACCTGGGGGTAACACACTAGTAGGAAAGAGAGGTATTATGATAGCTGGTCTCTCCCACCAGGATACGTATTCTCCCTGTCAATGTTCTCACTACCTATGGCCTTACTGAACATGCTGGGTTATGCCACCAGATTACCTGCATCAAGTCTTGGGGTAGATCACCCTTTCCAACGAGACAAATTACATCATTTCAGCCAAGCCCATTAGGACAGCCACAAATATATGTAAAGTAGGAGAGGAAGAACTTCATTACAGGATGCTGTGGTTGCATTTGGCATGAGTTTGCATAGTAGCCATGAGGCCGTGATGCCATTCCTAGGTGTTGCTCATAATTTTTAAAGGCAAAACCGTTGCTTCTTAGGCCAGGGGAAGAGTAAATCAAAATTTCCTTCCTCTTCTGCAAGTATAGCTGTTAAAATATACTTATGCATTCTAAAATCCAACCTCCATATATTCCTCAACAGCACACGTATTTATCTTCTTTGGAGGTCTTCCCAGTGTTTAACAAGAATTGGAATATATTCACTCAATACTGACACACAAAAAGTTGAAGTGCCTTGTCCCATGGCCCATAGTGTAATCCTGATAAAGTTGCTGAATGGCTATACAAAACTTTGTGAAACCAACATAAAATATCTTCTAACTACTCACAATCAAGCGTTCCATTAAGCACTACTTTTTTTTCAAAAAGCAAGGAGAATCCACTACTCACAATCAAGTGTTCCATTAAGCACTAGTTTTTTTTCAAAAAGCAAGGAGAATCCAAATGCTGCAATTACTTGAGCTTCTCCAACTATGATTGATGACCATAGCAGGCTATTTGCTACCAGACTGAAGAGATGACAGACCAAGTGGCAGTACCTCTACTTCTGTTCAAAGTGACTTGAATTAGAAATACATACATTTTTCTATGATACTAGTGATCAGAGATAGTGTGTTCACAAATGAGGTAAGGCAGGAGACATTTGCACTGAGATGTGGACAAATCTATTAAAGTCTGAGAAGCTCTGGGTCCTGTCCCCTCCCCCCTGCCGTCTGTACTGGATAGCTTGCTTTCAAAAGGTAGGAACCGCAGGGAGATAAATGGAGACAGTGCACTGATGCTACAGTTTGTATTTGTAAACTCTGGGGAACTTGTAATATGATTTTAATCCACAATGATATAGGCAGAAACTTACTCTAGACAAACAGATAAAAAGCCTTCTGCCCCAAAGTTCCTCACCATAGGTGAAATACATCATTTAACACTCACAGGTCTTATCAGAAAACATCTTTAATCAAAATATTTTACATGCAAGGTGCAATGGATACATAGTTGGTAAGCAGGATGGTGTAAACATGTACCTCCAGCATGTTTTTACATATGTACATTAGTCCACTTCTAAAGATGATTTTTCATCACTTTTTTGAATATCCAAAAGCTTCACAAACACTCCCTACTCAAGAGCTTACAGTCTAAATATGAAATACAACAAATGAAAACAAATTGAGAGGCGTAGGTAGCAAGTTACAGTAACATCCCACAATAATTCATACCAGCTGTATCCATATAGTAGTAATGTACAGAGGGAGTTAATTTTCCAAGATCAGCAATGCTTTTGGCCCATGTTTCTGCATCATCCTCCTACCCACAGGTGTTTGGTCAACAGTGAACTCCAACTCCTCATCCTAGGCCTGCTCCACCCATTCCCTTCTAGGAATCATCTCATGCCTTACAACAGAAAAGGTTCTGAGGACTAGAATCTATTTCCACGGCCAGCACAAGTCATAAAGGAGAAAGCTCCATTCCAAAAGTCTTTAGGGAAACAATCATGGATATGCTTGGGCCTTGTCTCATGACATTCCTCACAAAATTCCCTGGTGAGAGAAGAGAGTTCTTCTCCTGGCGTGCTCTTTCTCTCCCCCCACAAATGTTATAATACCTTCAGTTTTTCTCCTGACCTAGCAGTCAGCTCTTCATCCCCATGAGGTGCCAAGGAGAGTGACAATACCTGGACCGCCATACTAGTTTAACAGGTACTGAATGTCATGTAATTAAGGGATCAGCTCATTGGAGGCTTACAAATCACATTTTTTAAAACTCCATGGAATAATTGCTCATATCAGCATGTACTATGAAAATGCTACTATTGTATTTATTACTATGAAGTACAGGTATGGACCTCGTTTGAGCGTAAGATTAGCTTGCACTGTATGGTTGTGACTTAGGTCAAACAATAGCCGAGGGATGTTTTTGTGGATGTTCTAAGTCTAGGCATCTCCATAGTTTTTAGTTTAACAATTTTCTTCGTTTTACAGTATTTAATTTAACTTTTGCACTGTAAGGAAGCCACAATGTTGTAATGCATGTTCCTAGTAAGGATGTTAAAGAGCAGTTATTTGGCTAATCGTGTAGTCACTACAATTTGTATTGACTACACAATTAGTCAATAAGGGAACTGCTCTGCAGCAGGGGTAGCTCCCCGAGCCAGCTTGAGCAGGGACCAAGTCATCCCAGCTCGCACTGCTCTGGGGCCACTGCACCTCTACATTTTAAATATAGTAAGAGGCACCAGCTCTTAGCAGCAGTCCCTACTCTCGGTGGGGCCCAGCTTCCTGTTGAGCTGATAGAGGCAGCAGAGAGGGAGGGCAGGCAGCACCGTGGAGACAGTGCTTATGGGTGAACTGGTTTCTGTTCCCCCCATCCTTGCTGTCTCTCATATAGAGGCAGCAAGTTGTGGGCGAGTGAGTAGTCGAGTACTCTGCTCGACTACTCACTCACATCCCTACTTCCTATTGTTTGATATGTGCCTTTTTGTAGTGGATGGGGGGAGAATTCTACTGGATTTTTCAGCATTCCACATTCGGGTCATGGCTACACTACATGAAAGAACAACGCTGCCACAGTCCATCTTCCAGGGTTCCATTTAGCAGGTTTAGTAAAGACCTGCTAATTTGAACTGAGAGGACTCTCCTGTCATCAGTAGCAGTCCTGCTCCTCATAAGGAGTAAGGGAAGCCAATAGGATCATCGACTTCCTGTTGTGTGGACGGTGTGAAAACATGATTTAAGATACATCAACTCCAGCTACGTAATTAACGTAGGTTACTGGAGTTGCAGCTCTTAAGTCAAATTTCCCCTTTAGTGTAGGCCTGGCCTTGAAGCTGATAACCAGGAAAAAATACTCAAAGACATTATTATCAGGAATTGAGAGAAATTTACCAATGGAAACAAGGCTCATTTGTGAAACTGTATTAAATCTTTTGTTTACACAACCATTTCAGTTTCCATAACCAACATTTCAGAAAAAGGAAGGCTTGGATAGTAGGTGTTTGAATAATTAACCATTATTTCTTATAAGATATAATGTACATCCCAAATATTCTCCCACAAAACCAGGAAAGACTAGATTTGATATATCTAAACTGAGAAGTGTGAGCAAAAAATGATTTTTGTAAGAAAGCTTTCAGGCTTTCTTTATACATCATACAGAAAAAAAAATGAGCAAATCTAACTTTTAAAAATCTTTGCAAGTCACTTTTAAGTATTTCCTCCCAAAGAATTAGACACATATTACTTATGCGGAATGTTATTTTCTCATACATACACCCGAGCCCAGGAAGAGATTGTTCTTCAGAGGCCACTGCGGCTTCCCTGCAAGTCTAAAGTTGGCAAATTAAATTTAAAAAACTCCCTCCAACCCAAACTGATCTAAAACTTGTTGTATGTTTTGCAATGCTAGATACAGAATACAGATTGAGGCAGGAATCAATACTCAAAAGTAAATCTAGTTCTTACATATTTTAATTTTTAGTAAACTTGATACTGATTTATAGCAATGGACAACTGGTCTTTAAAATCTGATTTTTTCATTTTGAAGGTCAAGAAGCACCTTTAAATGGGCAAGTAAAATGTTTCCTAAACCATTTTAATCCTAAATTGAATATTGTTTTAGGCTTATTGTACAAGTATAATCAAATCTATTTAGAAAGTATCTTATCAAAAAAGTAGAAGCACACTAAATATGGAGCTTGCTAAAGCCCAGAGAAGTATCAGGAATGCTAAATGAAAAAGAATTTATATTTCTGAATATTTAGGGGACACTCGTCCTGCACTGAAAATAGTTTTAATTTATTTCATTCAACATAAGAAATTTGCGTACTCTCCTTTATGTCCTATTCTGAATTATACAAACAGGGTTCAGAGTACGTGTCCTTTTATAGAAATCAGATTAGATTCGTACATCTGTAACAAAATAATCTCTTAATCAATTAAAAACACTTATAAAAAGGGTATGATAATCTAGCTTTCTTTTTAAGACACTTTCATCTGTTTTACATATATTTGGATTTCCTGTTAGTGTAGATAAAAAAAGAGAAAGGAGAACTACCTCATGCAAATGTTAAGGTCAGACAAAATGCTCAATAAGAAATTTATAATCGAAGTGACAGGCATGTGAATTTTCCAGTAATCAGTCTAGCTTCCTTCTTTATTATAAAGTTACATAAAAGTTGGGATACAAGTTCTCCTAAAGTGAACAAATTCCTTGTTTAAAGGCCCAGAACAAATGCCATGCAAATAATAGTCTATTTCCACTTCAGATCACATATTAATGCTATATGATCAGAGGGATGAGAGACGCTTGGTAAGGCCTGATGCGTGGTAACTTCTTCATGACTTGGCAATGGAATTACCTGTTCAACCTCTAAAGCATTTATGTCAATGAAAATGTAGTCCAGGCATCCATGAAACCCACCAACATAATTTGTATAAGCAGGTTCTCCGCAAGCACTTTGCAGTTTGAAAGGATGAGTTAGAGACATATTGCATCTTTCTTCTTCTCCATTGGAGATCCAGTCTTCATGATCCTCAGAAATATTGCCACTATTGATAAAACTATACATTCCAGTTGAAGGTGTACTATTAAAATCCCCACAGAATATAACAGGTATGCCAGGATACAGATCACATGTAACATACCTAATGTGAGATAAAGCTACAGCAACTTGGATGAGACGGATGTTTCCACCTATAAACATAAAAGCATATTACATATTCTATTTATGCAGTAGTTTTAAATGAGTTTTATAAACCACTGCTCTCTGAGTTGGCAGGAATTTACATTTAAAAACTGTTAAAATTTAAGTACACAATCATAGGAACTATGCCCCATTAAACATACCCCAGCAATTTTCCCTGGCAAGGAAGAGTGAATCTAGAGAAACTAAATAACTGCTTTGCAAAGGACTGAGCCTTTCACCCTTGCCCAGTATATCAGTCCATCCCTTGATCTAATTGGCCACTGGTTTCATCCCATTATCTCAGTGTTTTTTGGGAGGGTTTTTTTGTTCTAATATCAAGTAGGAACACCAAGAAACAAGATAATCTCCACTCCTTGTTTGGGCCTACAAGGAATACTTGATCTCAGAGCCTCAATTTGCTTCCTCTGTGGTCAATACCACAACCTGGTTCCATCAATTACAGTGAGGACAGAGGGAAGCACACTCTGTAAACCAGGGATGGGCAAAAGGGCCTTTGTGGGCCGGATCCGGCCCGCAGGGGCCCTGTGGGCAGGGGAGCACGCAAAGCCTCCTCCCACCCTGCTAGGAGCACATGGTGCTTTGAAGCGCCGTGCACTGCTCGCAGGGCGGGAGGAGGCTTCCCACTGCCCCCAGACCCTGATTGGCTAAGCCTCTTCCAGGGCATGGGTGCCCAGTGGGGGCCCTGCCCCTCCTGGGGTGGCCCAGGGCTATTTCAAAAATTTTTGAAGTGGCCCCAGGCAAAAATTATTGCCCACCCCTGCTGTAAACCCATCTATATTAGCAAATTTGAAATTGGGGATTAAACATATAATCCAATAACCTTTACTTCCGCTATATTCTGAACATTACCAAGCAAGATTACGGAAATCCTCACTTCCACAAGGAATTGTAAGAAATAGTGAGAAATTCTTCAATTCAGAAAAGTGTGAAATAGAAATTCTAGTTGTGTAAGGAAAAGGTTACTAAATCTAGCTAATAATATATACTTATAAAATCAGCAATTACCTTTTGGATGCCAGTACAGGTGAGTATTGGCTACACAAATCTTCCTTGAAGGATCAATTGTAGACTGAAGAACTGAAACCTGCACGAAACAGCACTCGTTTACAAAATGTTAAATCAATATGCTTTAAAGACCTCAGAGAGATCCTATGTAGAATTATGCCTTATAAATGATTAATCAGCTTGTACCATGGTGACAATCCAATTCACGTTTTTATTAGGCCTAATAAGCACTTTTTAAAACAGTAACAGAATACCATTTAAATATTTTTGAATGTTTTGTACATTTTCAAATATACTGATTTAAATTACAAGACAATACAAATTCTACAGTGCTTTTATATTTTTTGTATTGTAAATATTTACAATGCAAAAAGCTAGTCTTTAATACTGTCATTTTACAAGTACTCTCTTGTGTAATCTCTTTATATAAAAGTTGAACTTACAAATGTAGAATTAGATACCAAAAAATTAAACAAAACAATGTTAAACTTTATAGAGCCTACAAGTCCACTCAAACCTACTTTTTGTTTAGGCAATTACTCAGACAAACAAGCATAGTTACAATTTGCAGGTGATAACCTGCATCTTGTTTACAATGTCATTTAAAAGTGACAACAGGCACTTACATGGCACTGTTGTAGCTGACATTATAAGATATATCCATGCCAGATGTGCTAAGGATTCATATGTCCCTTCATGCTTCAATCATCATTCAAGAGGAAAGGAGTCCAAAACAGTGTAGATCAATGCATATTCATTTTCATTAGCTAAGTCAGATGCCACTAACAGAAAGTTGATTTTCTTTTCTGGTTGTTCAGAGTGATGTTTATCAGGTAACTGTTTACTCGTTCACATCACTAGTAGCTATCTTCAGAAATCTCATGTTGGTACCTTCTTTGTGTATTATCAAATCTGCAGCGTAAGTGTTCTTAGAACAAACACGTGCTAGCTCACTATCTGACATACATAGCAGAAAGAATATGGGTAAAAAGAGCAGAAGACATACAATTCTCCTCCAATGAGTTCAACCACAAACTTAATTTTTTTTTAAAACGAGTGTCATCATCATTGAAGTATGTTCTCTGGAAACGTGGCTGAAGTATGAATGGACATATGAATATTTAGTGTAACTGGAAAGTAAATACCTTGCAATGCCAGCTATGAAAGTACCATGTGAACACCTATTCTCACTTTCTGGTGACATTGTAAACAAGAAACAGACAGCATTATCTTCCATAAATATAAACAAACTTGATTATCTGATTGCCTGAAGAAGTAGGATCCAGTGGACTTCTAGGCACTCACATTTTGCTTTTGAGAGCAGCTATGCAAAAAAGGAAAAAAAAAAATCTACATTTGTAAGTAGCACATTCATGATAGATTGCACTTCAGTACTTGTGTAAGTAAGGTGAATGGAGAAATAGTTGATCATTTTTATGGTGCAACCAAATGCAAAAAAATATAAAGTGATTACTGCAGTTTGTATTCTGTGTTAAACTGATTTAAGGTACATTTGAAATGTAGAGAAACATCCAAAATATTTTATATTTGCTATTCTATTAACAATTAAAACCGTGGTTAATCAACAACCCTAATTTTTAATGCATCTTTCTACACATTTTGAATATTAGTCAAATATAATAAACAGGCTTTGAAACATATACGTGACAGGATATAGCCATTGTGTATTAGATACACATGCCATCATAACATTTATCTTGCAAAAAAGGCCACAACTCCTGACAATTATAGAACTTTCAGTTCCAGAACTAGTACAGGTGGAGCCTCCCTGATCCGGCTCCCTCACAACCTGGTGTTCCTGTTTTCCTAACCAGGGAAGGGCAACATCTCCACTGGCTCTCTCCCCAGCTACTTGCCCTGCTGCCCTGCCCCCTGCCTGTGGCAACCAAGTAACCCTAGGAGCTTGGGTGGCCCCACCAGCTGTGAGCTCTGCTGCACCCCCTCCTTCTCCCTCTGGCTCTGGGCTCAGAACTCCTGCCATCGTGGGCTCCAGTGGCCCTGCTGGCTTCCAGCCCAGCTGGCTGCAGGCATTGGAGCCCTGTATAGGGATGTTAAATAGAGATTAGTAAGCTAATCAAGTAGTGGATGCAATCTGCATTAACTACTCAATTAGAAGAAAATGGGGTTCGCTGCGGCTCTACGTTTTAAATTGAGTAAGAGCTGCCAAGATCATGCCTAGGATAGCTAAGTCCTGGGTCGCTTCCAGTCCCAGACAGCTGTGGCTCTGCCTTTTAAATGTAGAAAGAGCCTGGCGGCTCTCACTACATTTAAAAGCATAGGCACAGCATCTGGGATCCAGCAGTCCTGGGTCACGCCCCCTGCACTTCTGCCTCCCCACAGACAGTGCTGGGGGGGGGGGGGGGGGGGAGGGAGGGAAATCGGCATTTAAGCCAGCTCCCGTTCCCCCCAGCACCAGCTTCTGCTTCCGCCTTGCTGCCTCTGATACAGACGCAGCAGAGGTGGGGGAGTGACTAGTCGAATAGTGACAACTTCTTGACTAGTCGCTTACATTCCTGGGCTCTGCTACCCAGCCAGTCGCCTCTGCTCCCAGCTGCTGGCAACCTCTGTACTGGGGTTCTCTAGTCCAGCAACATCAGTGGTCCTTCTGCAGAAGAAGTTCAACTTGTACCAGTGTTTGTAAAGTAACTCATTTGACAAATCCCAGAAAAATAAATGTTTGCCAAATACTACTTTACCAGCTTTGCCTATCAAGTCTCCTGCTTTTGCTTTTTTTTTCTTCTGCATTTCACTGTTTCTTGTAAGAGACCTTGGTGTAGCTTTTACTAATTAAGAAATCACTTTAATATGGTTTGAAGGCAGAAAGAAATCAAAGAAAATACATATATTATTTAAAATTAGCTGGACCACATTTGTATCAAGCTTACATTATACAGGGAAGAAATCAGGGGAAGGGAACTAACATTGGCCCCACACACTCATTTAGGTGAACGGCAACTGAACCGCACAGACTGTGACCCTACCAACTATCAAAACATAAGAATGACCGTACTGGGTAAGACCAAGGTCATCTAGCCCAGTAGCCTGTCTGCCGACAGTGGCTAATACCAGGTGCCCCGGAGGGAGTGGACCGAAGACAATGATCAAGCGATTTGTCTCCTGCCATCCGTCTGCAGCCTCTGATAGAGGCCAGGGACACCATTCCTACCCCCTGGCTAATAGCCTTTTATGGACCTAACCTCTATGAATTTATCTAACCTCTTTAAACTCTGTTACAGTTCTAGCCTTCACAGCCTCCTCCGCATTTGTTTGTTTTACACATTAAGCAACTTGAGATTATACTTAATTCTCCATACCGGCCATAATTTGCACATAGTTCATACTCTACTCCCAACTCTGCCTGAGCTACTTTTACTCTACTGCTGCTCTTTTACTCTACTGCTGCTGTCATTTCTTTCTCATTTCACCAGTAGTTCTATAGCATCCCTCCTCTTAAACAGCAACTGTGCCTCACACCTCGATTTCCTGGGGGCTGGACACACTCAATTTGTGGGACAGAGCTGCCGTACAAGCGCGGTTGGTACCTGCAGCACGGAGGATCTCTGAAGCACTTTTTCCTGGGCTAAGGGGTAGGGAGCTAACTTGTCGTGCAGATCCTTATGCAGCGGGTCGGAGAGCAGAGCCTCACTGAAAGCAATATCATGCTCGCTAAGCAGGCTGAACTTATCCCTGCGGTAGAACGTGGCCAAGCCCTCATGCTGCTTCTCCTTGATTCTGAAGAGCCCCTCGAGGCCGAAGGCGTCCAGCGCCGGGGCCAAACTATCGGTGAAGACGGACTTGTCCACCTCCTGCAAACAGATGAGGTCAGCGCTGTAGCCAGCCAGCTCCTTCTTGAGCAGGTTCTGCCGGTAGTCGAGCTCCAGCGCGTAGGGCGCGCAGTAAGGGTAGAGCACGGTCCGCGAGTGCTCAGTCTGAGCATAGATGTCGGCCAGAACGTTGTAGGAAACGGTGCGGATTAAGCCTTCCCCGGACACCTTCTTGGTGTACAGATGCCGGGAGTCGAAGGTACAAGCGCCGGGCCCGGCCTCCACGGGTCCGCTGCTCTCCACCTCCCGTGGGAGCCCGTAGCGCTGCTGGCTGTTGCCCGGCGTGCAGTGGAGCTTGAGGCGCAGTCCTATATGCGCGTTGGTCGGCGTGAAGACGCGCTCGCTGACTGGGGCTTCCAGCCAGGCAGCGCCCCCCGGGGAGGGCTCGTCCCCGCCGCCTCCTGGCTGCTCCCGGTACCAGCGAAAGAGGCAGTGCTGGGGCGCGCCGAACTCGGTGCGGATCTTGGGGCAGACCGGGAAGCCGGCGAGTAGCGAACGGGGCAGCTGGAGCTCGGCGATGGAGGGCGGGTTCCGCTCCACCTGGTACTTGACTTCGCCGATCTGCAGCACGGCGCCGTCCTGCCAGGCCTCGGCATTGGGCACGTCCTCCGCCACGGCCTCCCCGTCGCGCGCGAAGAGGCGCACGGCAAGCGGCGCTGCCGACACCGGCTCCCCGGCCGGGCCCGCCTCCGCCCGCGCTTTCTTGCTCTTCTTGGCCGCCTTGGCGTGGCCCTTGCCGGCATTGGTGGCGATGCGGGCCAGCGCCCGGCCCAGCGGCTCCGTCTGGTCCCGCTGCATGTGCTTGGCGCTCCCGTCACTCAGCACGAACCACAGGCTCAGCTTCGGCTCCGACGGGACGCAGCGCACCACGGCCCGCTCCATGGTCCCAGGCGGTTCTCCGCAGGCAGAGCCGAAGGGAACCGCGCCGCCGCTGCTGGCGAAAACGGCCGATCGGCAGCGGAGCCTCCTCGGCCCGGCAGCGGCTCGTAGCTCCCTACACAGAAAGCTCCACATGAACCAGCCAGCCCGGCAACCACCATTCATCGGCCGCGGCTGAGTTCCGGCTCCGGGCCACGCGCCAAGGCAGTTTCACATTGGTGACAGCACATTCGCTTCTGATTGCCCGGAAACCCACGCCGGGGAAAAGCCAAGCGACGCGGCGCAAGGGTGGATGGGTACTTGGCAGAGCCATCGACCGGAAGTGACGAGAGGCAAGGCCCAAGCGGAGGGAATGCATTTGTGATTGGCGGCAGAAGTGCTGACTGTTTGCTTCCTGTAGAGAGCTGCCTTCCGTGAATGCAGGGAGAAGCGGGAGCCACGTGCTGCTGGAGTCTTTCTAGGGTTATGGGCGCGTTTGTAGCCCTCAAAGCCTCATTTAAGTGGTTTCCTTGCAGAAAATAAGCTGAGTTCTTTGAGGCTGTCCAAGGAATTGCCCTTTTTTGTTTCTCCCAGGGGCTGTGTCTACGTTGGCATGATTTTGCGTAAAAGCATGCTTCCTGTCTACACTGGCGGGAGTTCTTGCACAAGAACACTGAGTTCTAATGTGTGAAATCAGTGCTTATTGTGCAAGAACTATGATGTGCCTGCTCAGGAAAAAGCCCTCTTGTGCAACTCTTCTTGCCAGTGTAGACAGGCAATATGAATTTATTGCGCAAGAAAGCCCGATAGCTAAAATGGCCATTGGAGCTTTCTTGCACAAGAGAGCGTCTACGCTGGCACAGATGCTTTTGTGCAAAAGCACATATCCTGCACAAAAGCACATGCCAGTGTAGACTCTCTCTTGTGCAAATACTTTAATGCAAAAACTCTTGCGTTAAAAGTATTTGCACAAAATCTTGCCGAAGCAGATGTAGCCAAGATGTCAGGCTTCTGTGGGGGCTGTGCCTGTTATCAGTTCTTGTCAGTCCCTTTTCCCAGGGGTAAGCAGCTGGGAGAGTTTGGATAAAGTAGGTTAACTAAAGACAAAGTATCTCTGATATTAATGGCAAAATCCTACACTCCCAGAAGAAGAGCGTTTAAAGCAGTGTCTCTCAAAGTGGGCTGCCAACCTGCTCTGGGAAAGCTGCTAATACAACCACCATGATTTGTGGCTTTGATTGGCTCCGCTGGAAACGGTGACCTGGAACCAATGGGAGACATGAGGCTCCATGGTTGTAAAGCTTCTAAAGAAAGCTGAGCAGCCTGTTAGCCGCTTTCCCAAAGCAGGCCTGCAACCTACCTTGAGGAATACTGTTTTAAATACTTACTATAATGAACCACCAAGAAGGGATTCACTGTCTGAAATAAGTGAGATGTGAAAAGAGGAAGATGCCTAAGAAATTTCAGACTTTTATTATGCATTCTGAACTATAATAGCAAATGTCACTGAGGTTTGAGGATTGAATTTGTTTTCTATTTACCCGATTCAGCATGTTTCATATTTGTTGAAAAAGAGAGAAAATTGAGAACAATTAAAAATAGAATAGTTTAGTTACTTTAAGGTGTCATATCTGTAAACAGCCATTTAAAAAATAATTATTTGTAAAGTTAAATTTGTAATTTATCTATTTGTAATTAGACCTCAGTCCTGTAAGCTGCCTTTGTGTGATCATTAAAGTTTGCTTACAGGGAAGTAGTTGCAATGTCAAGAAGGCCTTGGGTAAATCATTTCACTTCTCAGTGCCTCAGTTCCCCTATCTGTAAAATAGGGGAGAATGATCCTTGGTAAAGCCCTTTTAGATCTAATGATAACCTGTATAAGAACTAGATAGTGCTATATATTATCACAGTGGGGTCTTGGTAAGTCAGCACTTCCTTGTATCAAAGGTCTAATTTGTGGTTCACTTAACTTTATTGGTGAAGATAACTGTAAGATATCAGTTATGTAGCAACCTCACAATCCTTTTTTTATGAATTTAACCTTACAATGATCAAGTAAGATAGGAAAATACTGTTATTTCTATTGTTTTGATAGAAACTGAGGCACAGATCTTCACTGTATTAATGTACCTAAATTCCCATAGAATAATGGGAGTTAGATGACTAAATACTGTACCTTTGAAGATCTGGGACAGAGATGTATGCCTTGTCTATACTAGAAAGGGTTTGCACCAATTTCCTAATTTAAAATAAGGACATTTTTGCCAGTTTAATGAATTTACTTCAAGTCTTTTGCTGGCATAGCTATTTTATTTAGAGCTGTGATTTTTTTCATGCTTCTAACCAACATAGCTATTCTGGCAGAACTTTAAGTGTAGATCAGCTTTAAGTGGTTTGACCACAGTCATGCAATAGGACTGTGGCAGAGCAGGAAACTGAATCTAACTTTTTTTAAGTCCCAGGTTAGCACACTAACCACTGGATCATCCTTCCTCTCTGAATAAAAATAAAGTTGATTATGTATTTTTATAGAGTTAGTCCTAATATATTGTAAAAGAAAACCAAGTTCTGATTCATTAAGTGAAACACCCCCACCCTCCAAGCACCTGTATTAGCTTAAGGGCTTCAGTCATGCAGTTCATTGTGGGATTAGGGCTTGCATGCTTCAATATTTGCAATATATAGTCCTAAAATTAAACTGTTTAAATGACCTTGTCCTATAAATGAGACAAGGAGTGTGTGAAAATCATTTGCAGACTCCTAATATCTTGAGACCCAGCTATCTAGTATTTTGATTCTTAATTAATACATTCACCCATGTATAGAGAAGATACATTCTTTTTGTCAGTTTAATCATTAGTTAGTAGCTTGCACACATCTCTGAGTGCACTGAAATTTATTTTTATGTACAGAGTTGAATATGTTGTGTAACCAGCTGAATTACATGAAATAGCAGTATTCTACGTGCAGGGTACAGATGTGTAAGTATATCCCCCGGACATACAACGATAGAGCACAGAAGACTGTACAGTAGTTCTGTCTTTAAGGGGAGACTTCTGGACTTTGCAGTGATGGGATCTAGTGAAGTGGCTGTTAACTTGGGGGTGAAAGAAGCCCAATAACCTGCATGGAGCTGACATTCCCAGTATGCGCTTGTTTAGCAATTCAACTCCCCGCTAGTGTTGGTAGAACAGCTTCCTGCCCCGCATATACCTCTCTCCCCGCCCGGCCCTGGTAATAAGCCCATGAGCCGCAGCAGGCAGAACTTGGAGGCCACCTGCGCGTCACGCTCGTCGTCATGGCAACCGCGTTGTTGATCGTGGCAGCGAGCGCCACCTTCTGAGGAGCTGGGCGCTTTCGCCGCTGCAACCGTCCACGCCCGCTCTCCTGCCGGCGTTTGCCCTCCAGGGACGACGGGACCCCGGCCCCAGGCATCGGAGCGAGGTGAGAAGGGCGAGGCACCGGGACCACCCACTCCTTCCGCTGCTGCGCTGCCCTCTCCTGGGGCAGGCAGCGGGTGTGGGGGGATGACAGGCGGCGCTGCTCTCCCAGGTGCCGGGGCAGCAGTAAGGGAGGGGGCTGCGCTGCCCTCCCCAGGGCAGGATGCAGGGGACTGTTACAGACTTTTACCCTGGGGACACATGAAAGGGGGAACAGGAGATGTTAGGTTTATATACATGAATTTTGATGGTAACTTTTCCAAATCTACTTTTAATCCTGAATTTTTGTGGGCCTTGAGTTACAGTCCAAATTCACCCCTTCCCCTGGCTTTGCTTTGTGTACGTCTACACTGGCATTATTTCGAAATAACTTAGTCCATGTCTACACAGCAGCAGTTATTTCGAAATAGTGTGGAAATACTGTCAAGCTGGAGGACTTCCTATTCGGCCTCCTGTAACCCTCGTTGTAGGAGGAGTAAGGGAAGTCGGAGGAAGAGTGCTCTGTTTCAAAATAAGTGCTGTGTGGACGCTCCTAATTTCGAAATAAGCTACACCCGTGGTCACCTACCCGTTGATTGTGATTGACCGGGTCCGGCCCGAGGTATTCTGGCGGCACAGGTGCACGGCATCGCCCCTGAGCGCGCAGTGCATGCGCAGACCCACCCATGGGGAGCGGGCCTGCCCCTGTAGGGTGCTCAGGCCTGCCCCTGGGGTGCAAGGTGCATGCGCAGCCCGGCTACAGCTGCTGACACTGAGCC